CTCGTAGATGTGAGCATCCCAGCCGATAACAACCTCCAAGAGAAGACCAGGGAGAAGCTGGAAAAATACTCCGAACTGAAAGTGGAAGTGGAACAGTTGTGCGGAATGAAGACCACCATAGTTCCGATCATCATAGGCACAACTGGCGTTGTCCTGAAAGACCTCAAGGGACATGTCAGGAAGCTGGAGTGTGAAATATCACTCGATATCCTCCAGCGTACAGCAATCTTGGGCACGGCCAGCATCCTTCGCCGTGTCCTTCAGAATTAGGCGAGTATGAGGTCTGGGATGTGGTTCATCCCCCCTCATATCTCCAATACCGGCAGGTGCCGTGGAAGGATTTATTTATATATATATATATACCCGACAACAAAAATATAGTATTTGAGGGAATGCTTGAGGAAGACCCCCAGGACCTTTATCCAGTTTTCACGAAAGCGAACGATCCCGAGTATTTGTCAGAGTAACATCATATAACAGAACACTTATTCTTGTTATCATAGCCAAATTCCCATTACGACATGAAGGGAGGACTTACAAGCGGCTTGGCATAAAAGTTATTCGCATTTCATGATCGTCCCATAGAGGACCATTTATCGACTTAATATTTATGTCTTAGAAGTACTCGCACGGACGATGATCGTCAACGGAGATGATCATCGCAGTCGAATAACTTCCATGCAAGTGCACAACCGTGTGTAAACTCCTTCCAAGACAGCAACTCTCTGGTGTAAGATGTACGCAATTTTTGTTTTAATGGCAAAAGTGATATCTGCACCGTTGTATATCTGTTGATCGAAAAGTTTGGATTGGAGAACCATTGCAGGACTCAACTCTTGTGCCAAACTCATGAAATGGGGAAAGAGAAGGAAGTGTCATGTTTTACTTTGAAAAAAAAAACTAGAGAAGTTTATTTCTTTCTCAAAGTGGTTAACTTGGAAGGCTCAAGAGAAAGGGGGAAAATGGAAAGCAGCACCCGAAATATAACCCGCAAATGCGTCAGCTAGATCACGTGGACATATTATATCTCTGGTCAAGTTTCATTCGATCTTCGTGATATGACTCGAGTTCAGTACATCATGTCGCTCTTGTTCCCGGCACCCCTCACCCCTTTCATTCCGTAATTCATCCCGAAATTCGCTTCGTAACCCCTTCTCTGGTCGATGCTTTGACCGCTGAATTGATCCTCCATTCGGGTCTTCGAAAAGCCTTCCTGCGGAGCCTCTCTACCGTAGTTGGGACCCTTGAAAGACTGTTGCATGGGTTCTCTGCCATAGTTAGAATTCCTGAAAGGCTGTTGCATGGGTTCCCTGCCATAGTTAGAATTCCTGGAAGGTTGTTGCATGGGTTCCCTGCCATAGTTAGAATTCCTGGAAGGCTGTTGCATGGGTTCCCTGCCATAGTTAGAATTCCTGGAAGGCTGTTGCATGGGTTCCCTGCCATAGTTAGAATTCCTGAAAGGCTGTTGCACCGGTCCTCTCCCCTGTTGGGAACTCTGTTCTCTGCCGTAGTTGGAACCCTGGAAAGTCTGCAACCTGGAATTGCTTCGGTTCACCCCTGGCCCCTCTTCCTTCTGGTAGGATGGGTTGATGAAACCCCTTTCGTGTGAAACGGTGGAATTCTCGGCCGGAGATCTCGTGTGGACGACATTCACCCTGGGAATTATGTGATTCTCAGCTTGGGATCCGCCACCTTCCTTGACCGTTTTCCTCTCGTGTCGTTGTCGGCTGATGGTCCGGAACTCCGAGAGCACGACGACGAAGAAGATGCATTCCAAGATGGCAGTCAAGATGCCCAGGATGGTAGCGAGGAGGCAGAAGACAGTCACAATATCCTTCACCCTTGAGATGTTCGCGGTCATGAACGAGTAGTCCTCCCTGTGCGCGAAGTAGACGACCGGCATGGCGATCCCGATCATTAAACTCAGGAAGATCTTGATAGGAGTTGCGATCAGATACGGGATAATGATGAGCTCCATGTTCTGCAACAAGAAAACAAAAATACTGTAGTTTGGAAGACTTTTGTACTCGATGGCAAGAATCGTTTATGATCTACGCATACAGAAAACAACATAGTTGAATGCAAAAATCACTTTCTGAGAGAGTACAACGCATGAGAAGACAATCAAAAGAACGCTTTAATAGACGCATGAAATAAATAAGCTAGTTGCTGCATGCATAAAACGGGACTCTAAGAAGAAGAGCAAAAAGAAAGGTGAGCGTGGATCAGAACTTCAATCAATGTAACACATGTGAGCGTTAGTGTCAGTTCCGCTCTGGACGAGAAAGCCAAGCCGACCCACGAATTCAAACCTACCATTGCTAGAGTCGATAAGGTCGACGTTACGAATCTCGTTAAAAAATGCCAGAGTTGAAGAGCTGGCGCAAGAAGGCTGAAGTGAGAGAAGAAACACGATCAGGCACTCTGGCGAAATACAGGGCGGTCCACAATTGTCTCCCCAAAAGTAAAAGCTCATTACTCAGGAAGTATACATCCGATTTCAATGATATTGGCTCAAACGATAGCCAATTTAATATATTTTTATCAAGGAAAATTTCAGCATTCCATAAGAAAAGAGAACAAAGTTACACCATAACAAATGAAAGTACACATATCGTGCAACTAAAGCCTGTAAATAGCACAGTCCCTTCTGAAATTCGCAATTCATTCGTGGGTTTTTAATGCATCGCGAGGGATTTTCTGTGTCGTGGGTGACCTCAGCATCCTGCAGAAGGCGAATATTGCCATTTGGTTTTATAATTTGAAGAGAGCAAATTTGTGCGGGGAAAATTTGGAAATGTTTGGGCCCAAATGCCTCAATTGGGTGGAAGTTTGGGTCCAAATGCCTCAGTTCCTGATCATATCATGAAGGCAACTCCTAAGAAGTTTCTGAACCTGAAGAGATTCATTGGCGGACCTATGACTACCTAGATATGCCGAAACGAGCCATTAGAGATGCCTTCGCCACAGTAGGACCAGAGATGATTGAAAGAATTCTGGTGGCATTCAAGGAGAGACTGCACTAAGTCATTGAAAATTTTGGAATTCATATTGAACACTAATGATTTTGCGGCTTTCAGTTGTAAGGATGTAACTTTGTTCTAGTTTCTTAAGGAATGCTGAAATTTTCCACGATAAAAATATATTGAATTGGCTATCGTTTGAATCGCATATCATTGAAATCAAATTATATTTCCTGAGTAATGAGCTTTTACTTTTGGGGAGACAATTGCGGACCACCCTGTACATTTCCTAATCCTTTCATTGCCAGTTCTTCGACTCTGGCCCTTTTAAACGAAATTCGTAACGTCGATTTAATCGACCCTGGCCCTATAAGAGTTAAAAGCCACATGAACTAGATTCTTTGTTCAAGAATAGTTCGGCTGGTAAAGAAATGTTACCTTAATCACACCGATGAGCATGAGGATAATGATGATGGTGTAGGCGCCAACAACCCCGATTAGAGCCGCCACATACGGTTTCATCTCTGCAGAAAAGCAAAATAATTAGACCTTATATTACTAGGATAGTTCAATTCTTACCAGCACTTTCTATTGTAGAAAATAAATAGGGCATGACAGAGTTTGCAAGCCTAATATGACAGATAATAAAATATCACGTGAAAGAGAATGTGAAGGAGGCTGATACGTTCCGAAGACAGCAAGCACAGTTCGGGGAAGACTGTTCAGAGAGGAGAAGTGTATTTGATCGTGCAAGAAATTTCAAGACGGTCAAGAATCCTTGACAATTCCTTGAGCGTGACCATCCGCAAGATACTGTTGTGAATCCTGTGAACATCCGGGAAATCGAACAATTGCTTCTGGAAAATCGTCGCGTTACCGTGGAAGATTTTCCAGAAGAACTAAACATTAACATCGGGAGTGTCAAAAGTATTATCCACACTCGCTTCAAGTTCAAAGAGGTGACTGAGAAATGGGTGCCAAGAGAACCGACATCCGCCCAGAAGGCTAACCGAGTGACCGCCGCGTCGAACCATTTCAACCGCTATGACGAAGAGAAAGATAGCATCCTCAACCGCATTTTCGACGAGTGATGAAACGTGGATTCATCACTTAACGTCAGTTTGAAAACGCTCAAGCATGCAAAAGCGGCATTCCGCATCGCCTTGGCCTAAGAAATTCAGGGCAATGATGAAATGGTGAAGTGGCTGCGCACTCGACCACAATCATTCTAATCTCTCTGGCGTTCAGGCATTGCCAAAGCGATGTAACGAGTACGTCCGTGGAGAAGGGGAATTCCTCGAGAAGGATGCGTAGTTTGATAGAGATCAGATTTACCATAAATTTTCTGGAATTAAAAGTGCAGGTAAGTACTGAACCTCCCTCGTATATAGCACATTGGTGAGTCATAACTTCCATCGCTATGGACGGAAGTAGAGCAAGAAACTGCAGTCGCACAAATATTACGGAGGAAAGGGACACCGTTTTTTGCGATGATACTACCCTCCGGACAATCCATCTTTTGCATGTCACAAAGGAGTAGATCATTTTCTCACCGCAGCTAACCTGGAATCCGCATTCAGATTGAACGCTTCTCTTCATCCAATAAATAAATAAAACTCCTCTCGTGGTTTTCCGCAAGACAGAGCATTCTTTCTTGCTTCTGTTTTTCGCATCTGTTTTGAACATGCACTTCACCCTTGAATCTCTTTCAAGCTTCTTGGAGTTCCTTCTCTTCCATTCGCCAACTCACATGGAATACTACAATATTCTTGAAATTCGAAGGTCCGCTACCCATGCACTCGATCCTCCAACCCATAAGGCCTTTCTCTCTTCCACGGGAGCAAGTCGGTTAACCAAAACCAGGACCTTTCCCGTGATGGAAGAGTCCTTCGGCTCTGGGAAGCTTCTTCCCATGCATCCCCTTCTCCCTTCTCACGATTCAGGCACTCTACTTAGATCTCTGACACGAATAACCAGGAAAAGGAAATCGGCATCCGTCTTTTCTGACGCCGTCTCGACCCCCTTCCACACTCTCTTTCACTTTTCTCGCCTTCTTCCAGCTGTGATTTCCTCCTCTCGAAACGTTCTCACTTAGAAAAAAAAGGCATCATTCTCTGCAAAACCATTTTGCTCCATTCCGTCCCATTTGACCGATTCAAAACAGGAAAGCATCAGGCAGAGACAGTCGTCTCAACAAACCGATACCGAAACATTGCAGATGTGTTGAATCAGAGCACGTTCTAAACAGATAAGGTGCATCAGCCTGCGCGAGATGGCGCCTGACCGCTTCTGTAACATTTCGCACCCTGATGTCACTGGAATGATTCCCCTCTTTTCGCATGCGCAAATTGAAAAGGTAGCTTGTGAAGCTTGAAGGAAACTTGTGAAATGCTATTGAAGAGGTAGCCCAGCATAAGGTGACTTCGGGGAATTCTGGCCCAGCGGTACGCAGACTTCATTACAATGCGGTAATAGTTACATGGGTCCTTTTATCTGTATTGGAGACGAAAGAGCATTTTAAATTCGCCTGCGAGGGTGTCTGGCTCTTTAATAATGGAGGAACATACAAGGTGTGTTCAAAAAGTTCGGGGACTGATTTTCTTACATTTATATTTTGCAATTATATATTGATCCTCCACCTTTCGCTGCAGGTAGGAACTACTTAGTGTGCTTTAATACGGCGGGAGTGACATGACATTGCTCCTGCATTTTCACCGTACAGCGTGCGCCGTCGGACGCGACACAGCTGATCGTCAAAATCCAGAATGGGTGACCTTCTGGAACAGTGAGTTTGCATCAAATCTTGTTTCAAACTCGGAAAAACGGCGTCAGAGACTTATGACATGCTGCGAGCAGCTTAATACAGATATGCCTGATGTTCTACAGTATATAGAGGCGCATCTCTGCACGCCGTCCTACATATAGACCGTCTGGCATATTTGGGTTAAGGAGAGTCTACTCTAAGAATAGAATCCCCATAGGGTAACTTGGGGGAATATGGCCCTACAAAATGAAACCTGGTAATAACGGCCCGTCAAGGTCGAATTTGACTTTTGCAATGTTTCTACAATATTGATTCATATCTCCTTTACTAAATCCCAGCAAGGCACACGCAAAAAACCGCATGGATATTGCGCCTTTGGATCCTTTCCATGTTGGTCTCAAGAGGCCATATTACCCATATAGTTGGGGGAATATGACCACTTCTGAAAAAACAACTCCAGGTTTTCCAGGAACGTGTGAAATATGCTGGAACTTGCTAAGTACCTTGAAACATAATAAAGGATGCTCAGGAGTTGAAAAAGAAACACTAACTGCATTGAGAAGAAGGAAAGAAGTCGACATCATTACCTGACTCGAGGATCTGCTGCGAAAAGCAGGATTCCAACGTTTTAGGCTTTAAGTAGCAATGCACGTGATTGGGAGACTGTATTTACGAACTGTGGGTGTAAGATGAGGGATCAAACATTGATCAAAGTGAACATGCGTTTAGAGTGTGAAATAAGAGGTCTTACATTGCAGGAAAAGCGTTGCGAAGTTTTTGCATGCATGCATAAATAGTGGCTAAAAATTAGCAGAATACCCATTTAAGTTATTGTACGAGGGATATTTACTTGCATTCAAATTTCGTGCCACAAAAATGTCTGGTGTATGTCAAGCGGATGTCTAAGAGGCGGTGCATGTGCATATTCTCCTGCACCGCCTCCTCATGAACTGCATATTTCGTCCAGATGTCCAGCACGTCTATCCATATATCCAGAGGAAATGCATGGAATGATCTTTTGCTGCCTGAGGTCCCACGTGAAAGGAAACTGACACTACCAATAGGTCAGTGCGGTGCTACCATGGAATCCAGGATGTGTCCATATTACCCCAAATCGGGGTGGCCATATTACCCCATATTGGCTTGCATGAAAAAATTGACAACACTGTATGTGTACCTCAAGTGAACGGGCTAGCACTTTCCACAAGCATTCAGGAGGAACCATAGCATAACTTTGAACAAATGGTTTTTGTATCCATGCTGCTATTAGGAAATATACGCTTAAGTGGCACAAGGCCCATATTAGTTTCAGGGCCATGAGTTGAAGAATCGCATGCATATGACTAAAAGAAATCTATGTATCCCGAATTCCAGTGAGAACTGGATCAATGAACAGGTCAAAACATTTCGACAATTGCATGCACTCTTCGATAGAACTATTTTCAAAATTCGCCCAAACTAATTATTCATTCTGTTAAGGGATTCATTGTGAGGGGCCATATTCCCCCAAGTTACCCTATAGGATATGGGAGTTTCCGTGATGGCCGGGAATCGACCGAAGACGACTCACGCTCCGGACGCCCCTCGACGTCACGACCCGACAATGGCGTTTTGCTTGTCAAGAATCTGTTGCGTTCCGACGGGAGGATAACAGAGAGGTGGCACAGAAGACGAACATGACAATCGGCACTTGTGCCGACGTCATCACCCAAGATTTGGGCAGGTAAGTTGCAATTTGGGCATGCAATTCTCCGCAAAGTTTGCTCCTTGCCTCCTCACTGCCGAACCAGCAACGCCTCAGCGTTTGTCTGGATCTGTTGACCGGCGCCGCAAACGATCCTCACCTGCTTCGCAACGTCGTCACGGGCCATGAAACATGGGTTTACGGTTACTCCGAAATCAAATGCCGGATTTCGAAATTTAAGACAAGTTCGCCGAGACCCAAAAAGGCGCGACGGCAAAAGTCGAAGACGATCGTGATCGCATTCTACTCGACTGTTCCATCCCGAATTCATACCGGAGGAGGAAACAGTGAATCAGTCCTTCTACTCGGGTGTCCCGAATCGCCTTCGTGACGCCGTCCGTCGGAAAAGGCGAGAGAAGTGGGAGGCAAAAACAGGGATTCTGTAAGACGACGACGCCCCGGCCCACACCTGAGTGACCCACTTCGCCTCATTCGGCTCCAGTCACTTCTTTCTCTTCCTCGAGTTGAAATCAGCTCCGCAGGGAAAGAAATATGAAGACATCGACGAGATCAGAACGCGACGGGAGCGCTCCGGAGGACCACAAAAGAGGAATATGAGAAACGCTTCGAGAGCCCCGATGTGTTTCGGCAGACCTCGTGTGAAAGTGACAAAATGGATTACCTAAGAGACGACGGCAAGCACGTGACTTCATTGCAGGACAGAATCAAGTGTGGGATTCAAAGAATCCTCTAGGTTTCTGATCCATTAAAGAAAACTCCAGTCTCACAAATAATCAACTGGTGGTACTACCCGCAAGAGAACTTTCAAACCGAGAAGCAGAGAAGAAGGTTCCATAGTAAGATTTCGCGATAAATGAGGCAATCCCAAGACGATGAAAATTCAATGCTGACGCAACGTATGAGCGGATTTTCAATGCTCAACTGCGTTTCATTTCGGCGTCACTCAAAAATTGAATTGAATAATATTCGCTCAACGTTGGCGTCAATATTGTGCTGAAACAGCATGCAGCACCATGCAAATTTTCCGCCAATGTCTCTCACGGTGCTTCGACGGCTGACATGTACGATATAACATGTATGCTGAGAACTCCTTTTGGTCATCCAACACGTGACGGTGCGATGCGCGCCATTTCGTCTACGTCACAGTGTATACGTCATACGTCATTTCGAGTAGGGGGCCTTCCGAACAGTCTTAATGTAATTGGTCTTTCAAAACTAGAATAATAGCTTCTTTTTCCGGACGATATCGAATGAGCGCTTGAGTCAGCTTGTTCGACCGACCACGCCAAGTCCGATCGTTTGCACGTTCGATCCACACCGACGCACTCGTTTCAAGGGAAAATAAAAGCTCTCACTCGGGTTCTTAGGGACAAAATCATTCAAACTTTAAGAAATCACCTGGATATGTTGAATGTGACTTACAATAGAATTCTTGCCGATACCTTGTTTGGTTTCCGTCTGCAGGAATAAAAAGTTGATAAGTATTTTCGGACCACCCGGTATATAATCTGCTTACGAGAACACTCGTGTGCGCCGCTGATATCCGTATGTGTCTCCTCTCGAGTCAAAAACCTAAGACGCATTCGTGCCTCGAAAGGAACGACAGCCCTCCCCCCCCTCCCCCCTCCCCCCCCCGGGGGGATCCTCGGCTGCATGCAAATAGGAGGCACCCATCGCAGTTCCGTCTTTCATTTCACCCTCCTTGCATCTTGTGGACATGCACCATAGTCAACGCGATGGAATAACCCTCGAGATCCACGTGTATCCAGTAGATGATCACCGTGAAGCTCGAGGAAGGGATCTATCGGAGCACGATACGAAAGGGAAAAAGAAAGTCTTACGCGTCTCCCACGGCTTCAGTAGGGGCAGGTACTCCGGAGTTGTCAAGAAAGATGAGTTGGGTTGGGAGATCTCGACTTCGAACATGATGAGGAGGGCCAAGGCCGGGACCAGCCATGACTATCGGAAACCAATCACAGCGAACAGCGTTAAATTCGCGACACGGAGCACGAAAGAACGGGGAAAGAGAAGTTCGGATTCCGTACTAATTGGAAGATGGCGACGGCGATGGAAGAAGCATACGTGGATATCCCACAGCACGACTTGAAGTAACAACACATGCTTCCTGCTGGAACGCCGACACGATCCCAGGCAGCACTTCACGGACCATCTCAGGTACTTAACCTGTATCGCTGATCGCGAGCGTCAAGGGATCTCTCTTATCGCCAGCGATATTAGATACTGCCTTCGCACGGAAATCTCGCTTGGAAGTCATCACGGATGAAGAAGATAGAGGATAAAGTACGCAGAAAATTATAGAAAAATGTGCATTATATTTTATATACGAGAATCCAGGTACATGTTTTCATGCTGCATCTAAACTAATTCCAAACCTATCCAAAGCCTAAAATCTAAAATGAAAGCAAGGTGAAAAGTAGTCACGCCTATTCCTCGCATGCGCTAAAACGCCGATCTAAATCTATATGTAATCTAAGAGTTTGTCTCAAAGGAAGAGTCTATTCCTCGCCCAAACTAAAATGTAGACTTGCGCTAATCCTTCGTCTAAAAGGAGGAAGTAATTTTCAGACTCCTCTCACCCCAGTCTAAAGAGTCGAAATGAAAGAAAAAAACGCACAGTACCATGCGTTTGCTATGATATGTGACTGGGTACCGAATGACGAATTCATTAAGACAGATTTATTTCCTGCACTGCCCATGTTGTTCGGCAATTTTTTTTTTAAATATTGCTTGAGCTTCTGATTGCATCCGCAGCGACAGTTTCATGCAGACATTTTTCTCCTTCGTATCGACATTTTACATTTTTGTCTTGTCGGAGCTGTCTCAACGTATCCTCGCAATTAGGTGGCCTTTTAACACGGATATAAATTGCAAGTTGGACCTGGAACAGACTTGCCTCGTCGACTGCCTTTAGGTGAGATTCACCCTCGGACTCACCATTTAGCAGAGTGAGAAACAGACCTCCACTCCTCCATTGCTTTTCATACTACTTGCAGGCTAAATTTCGATTTAGATTTACCGACGGCGAGGAACAGGCCTCTTAGACGAGATGCACGCTACGAAGAAGAGCTCCTGCACCTGGATTCGGCACCTGGACCTTGATTCGGCACCTGGACCTGGATTCGGCACCTAGACCTGGATTCGGCACCTAGACCTGGATTCGGCACCTAGACTCATACCCTGCATATACTCGGTTCGTAGTGTGCTACACGCTTCACTCCATTCTTCCGCTCTCGCATTCGGCTTCTCTACATCGATCTATCCCCAGATGGAAAAAAAAGACTCGTCCATGACCGAGATTGCGATTGATGCGTTTGTCGGTGAGGATTTCATTCCCTCAACGCTACAAGGAAAGAACTTTTATTGCTTCTTTATCTCCCGTCCTCGCCGAGTTCCTCAGAGGTGACGAAGCAAATCCCGAGAAACAGTCGCATTTCAGGGGATATTCTAGATGCTTAACGGCTGACTCGGAATTTCGATGGGATCACTGCCGAGAGATAATCGCCTAACATTTCCGGAATGCTCCCTCCCCCATTTGTCCACCCCAGGAAATGAGCATTCAAGATCCCCATTTGTGGTACGTGATTCCCCCCCGCCCACTTTAGATAAGCTCCTAATCAAACGAATTCCTACGAGGTGCACTCCAGCGAGGTGCATTTCAGCCAAGTCAATTCCAGTCTTTTTCCTCGATCCCAAGCATCTGGGGATAAATTAATCGACCTGAACCAATGCGCAAGGTGACAAGCGACGTGCATGACATCTTTCCTCATATCATTCCATTCAACCGAGTTTCCAATTGAAGTTCGATCCGCAAAGCCGGAACAGTACCCCACAGAGCTTTAAACCTCACCCTGTCATGAAGCTTGAGATGAATTGACCAAAATTGCTCCTCCATAACCTTGGAAGCTTCGCATCCCAGTTTGCACGTTCCTCGACGTCTGAAAGCTTATCTCTCCCCTCGGACAGATAGCCTTCGATTCTAGTTCGACATCATACCAGCATCAATATTTTCTCCAAGATATCGCATGAGAAAATAGTGGGGAAATTCGCCCCCAATACAAGCAATCTCGTACGATGAATCACACCCGTCGGTGGAATGCGATCGTAAAAGCTTCCCATTCCTCGGATACGAGAAGAGATATACGTACTTCCGAGACCGTCTTCATTGAACCCAGTCCGAATCCCTCGGTTTCCTTCCAGTCGACAAGGGACTTCATGGAAATACTGCCCGAAACACTTCCGGACGATTCTGACAAGAAAGACGTCGTGTCCGTGCCCTTTCCTGCTTCTCGAGATATTTCGATCATTTTGGATTTTGAAATCGGATTCGAATCCGAATTCGAAGGCACAGAAGCCATCGTCGACGATTTGGAAAACAGGCGGCTTCTTTTCATAAACAGTCTCATGATAATTAGCGCTAGTGGTTCGTCTATGGAGAGGGGGTACACTCTTGGGAAAGAGTGAGCGATTTCCGAAAAGGGAGCGAAACTGGAGTTAGCGATTTTGCTCCATAAAAACGAGGAAGTACAATCGATAATTACTCCTTTATATGAGCAGAATCCATAACTTTTTTTAAGAGCGCGAAACGAAGGAGGGAGAGTACTTTTCAAATTAGTGGGAAAAGCTAGTGGTCATTCTCAGGAAAGAGAGAGGTGAGCGGCTGCATTTCCTTGTTTTTAGGGAGTAAAATGGCTAACTCCAGTTTCGCTCCCTTTCTCGGAAATCGCTCACTCTTTTCTAAGACAATGCCCTGCCTACCCCAGAGACGAACCGCTGGCGCTAAATATCACGAGCCGCCACTGGAAGAAACCACAGAACATTCGCCGAGTGGTTTGAGAAAATTTGCGCCGTTGGTAGCAGCTTCTTTTCTCCCGTTCCTGGTACGGTCCTGCATCGAGGAAATTACTATCCGCGGGGTTTATCGTGCGCATGATGCCTGAAAACAGATGGTATCCTCCATTGCAGTCACTCCCATACTCGACAAACACTTGGGAGAAAGCGGCGAGGGATCCAAATTTTTTTTTTGCACCTCTGAGTTAAAATACGAGCTCCACCTTCAGCAAGGCATCTTCAATAGATGAGATCTCTGAGAGTATAGATTCCTCCGGGAGGATTCCACAAAAATATTGATTAAAATGTTTCCATTTTCCACGAGCCATAATGTTAATTGTGTGAACTCTTCACTGAGCTTACGCCTCAGACTTGCTGAGGCGAAAGTCCATTTTTCTTTGGTTGTCAAGAGTCTCCCGCCTGCTTTCAGTTCCTCAAATAATAGCATTGCCACAACACTGCCACCTATTCACTTACAAGAGCCAAAAGGATCTGGGTCAAAGGATCGTCCCAGTCGGCATTTCCCGACATCAGCTTTCTCAGGGTAAATGGGGCTGGGAGTGAATCATTCACATAAGAGGATGATTCAGGTGAGGGAATCATTCAGGTGAGAGGTTCCTTCGACAAGGATTCAAGTGCGTCGACGGCTTCACTGATTTGGACATCACAAGTGCTAACGAGATACCTGTTTCGTCCCTGAAAGCAGTTGAGTTCCTAAGAAATGTCCTCTTCTCGATTATTGGACTCGTTGAATCAGATGGGAGATTTTCTCATCCTTTTTCTGAAGTTGCAACAGCAAGGAACCCATTGAAGTAATCATATTAATAATAATAGACTTAATAAAGGCGTTCGTCTTCGCTTTTTCCTTCTAAAACTGGCGAATTTTCCTCTCAGAATTTTCTATCCCTTCCTTTCCCTTCTCTTTTTCTTCTCTCAACATGGTTTAAAAGTAGAGAACGTTCTACAATATATTTTAAATTCTTGTGTCACCTGCTGGAAGCCATCCAGTTGGTACTCGGCAAGAGATTTCACATTCTTTTAATCCAGCTTTCTCTTCTGATTTCATTTCAAACAAGTTCCTTTCAGCCCAGGGTCGAGCCCCAAGCACGTGGCTCGTCGCTTCCCGGCGATTCGAGCCTCATTAATGACATCCTCCTTGCTGGGATGTTTAGGATGCATTTGGGTCGCTCGAGGCTTCGAGATTCCGAAATCCCTCCGGACGCCACGAAGCTTTTCTCTCCGCTGGATTAATGAAGGAAAGGTAAACGTCCTCAAGGTTCCTATCGCATGATTGTATTAACCTTTTGACGTCCACACCCAAGATATCCGGTGTTTGCGTGATGCCTTACTCTGACCCACGCCCAAGATACGAGGGGTGATCAAAACTTTCCGGGACTGAATTTTTTAAGACGCTGTGGTGACTCTTTCCGGTTGCTGATGGATATATCCTTCAAAGTAGTCCTCTTCGGCATCTTCACTAATTTTCCGGCGTTTCTTCAGCCGCCGGAATAATTGATGACACGCGTCTTTTGGAATCACCAGCAGCACTCGTGGCGCGTTCGTAACGCTGCTGCTGTAAATGTCCTGAAATTTCCTTCATTTTTAAATTTCGACGGTTTCTGACCTATCTCGAAATCCCCGTGCTTCGTAAACCACCCAACTCGCAGGACTTGGCTCATAGGATTTTCTTCTTTTTTTTTCCCTCTAAGTGTGCCGAAATGAAGATTTCAGGCATTCAAAGCAATATTGTAAACGTATCTCGTTTCGAACTCTCGTCAAATCGCACGTCTATCCCGAAACATTGCGGGCCGCTGAGGTCACATTTCACCTCCCATTTTTTAGTTAAATGTTGGAATGTGTAGACTACCACATTAGAAGCGTAATCTCCAATCTCCAATCTCCTAACCTAATTTCATAGGTAGATTCATAAATAATTGAATTGCCCTCCATTGCGGTGTCCAATAAAGATCTCACGCGGCATAAACATCGGTCCTACGTTGCCTAGAAGTTGGCAAGGTTGGCCGAATGTGGAAGTGGGCTTGTAACGTTGGTCCAACGTTGGTAGAAAGTGAGCCTGCGATTTAGAGTGCATGTGTGCTGCGAAGATTGGGCAAATGTTGGTAGATTATCGGAATGTGCTAGCTATCAATCGATGATGGCGAAACGTTTTTAAGAGGTAGGTGTGGAATGTTGTGTTCGTATGACCTGCTAAGATCGAGCCGGCGTCAATAAAGGTCGGAATGTAGTTTCACAATAGATGGATTTCGCTTGCATGGAGAGAAACAATATGATATGAAGATCGTGTAAGCTACACGCAGATACTATAGTCCATCCATAAAGTCAGGGCCATCTCCCCATAACAGGGGAGATCTCCCATACCAAGATAGCAAGGTTCACGGCATGGACGACCCACATCTGTGTGCGAAGGCAATAAATCACATGTGCATTGCCTGGAACAGAGATTTCACAATGTTGTCTCGACTGTCAGCCTCGTATATGTTAAATTATTACTATCCTTACTAGTTTTGTTCAGAGGACAAGTAATGTCTAACAGTACTGTAAAACGTAAAGATTCACTGGAGATTTTTTGCGTCCCGAGTCAAGAGATCAGAGTCAATGAGAAATAGTTTCTGGTAATGTTGCAATCTGCATTTCTGAACGTTACTGTTCCGGTTTCAGGTCTGAGCACGATTTTTTTTAAACCCTTATCAGGGCAACGGGGGTCCATTGCACCTTGCAACGTATATTTCATTACATTGCTCTCTGGCAGTTTTTCAAAATTGTCCACAAATTTAATGTGTATTTCATAGTCAGTCGTCCATACATCGAAAAACGAATTTTTAACGTTTTTATTTACTTCTAGGGGAAGAGTATGCGCACGCTAGTTGGAAGATCGACAGCGACACCTAAATGTCAATGAATGGGATTCGAGCGGAGTGTCGCCTCTAATTATACTCCATGGTACAGAGGTTGATCTTCCCCTGAATGTACTAACTGTAGTACTTTTCAAGTGAAGGTCCACCCCTTACTGTTCTCGCAGAGTATCTACGATTTCAGTCCATTATTTCCTCAGGATGAAGAATCGGAAGATTGAGCCCGTGAATGTTTTCCATGTTCAAATACTCCTTTCGGATAGGGTCATCCTGTTTTCGTAAAGGGTTCTCATGAGCTTGTTTATGGCCTGGGCTCAATGATTCTGTCTCGAACATAGGGATGAAAATGAAGAAATGTTCGCGTTTATTGATTCTCATAATGAGACGAGACAAGACATATGATGAGGTACTAAACACTCCTGTGAAGGATGATTCGATGGAAAGAGGGAAGGGTACTTCTGTGTACTGTGCGAAAAGCGAGACCTGAGGTGGCCTGAAGGAGAACTTCAACCTTTCCCAAAAACAAAAAAGTGCGGTCGGGCTCATTGGATCATCGCGTCCGTCTAATATTGGATCGATGAAGGAATGGCACTATTGGGGGAGCCAATATTTAGCCTATGTTGGTAATATTGCCCAAGATGTAGTCAATGTACCCAATGTCGATCCAGCATTGAGTCAATATCTGGTGCAACTGGGGAAGGTCCGAACAAAAACGCCTTTCGGAAGATGCTTAGCCCTTCATGTTTTCATCATTTATTGAACCGTTTTTGATTGATTTACGAACGCAAGAAGCCAGTTGTCCAACCCGCGTTCAACCTGTAGTGGTAATTTGGCTCCATGAGTAATTGCACAATACCTCCCTGCTTGTAAAAAAAAAAAATTTAACGAACGCGAGTCATTCATACATGACAAGTTTTCTAATTCACTTAGAATCAGCAAATCGACTGGCAAGAGAATAAAGAATAACCACTCTTTTCAATCGTAGTCGGGTTGAGGGTCCTCATATCCCAGGCGACCTTCGAATTGAATCCGATGACGAGTATCGCTTTCTGGTCTCACAAATCCTTGGTTGTCGTGGGAATAATCCCGATAGTGAATCTCCCTTTCTGGTTCCTCATATCCCCGGCCGCCGCGTAAATAACCCCGACGATGACTCTCGCTCTCCTCAGGCTCGACCAAGCGCCCCTCCTTGCGGACTCGGATGATCTGAACGAGCGAGAAGACGAGGAGGACCGAGCACCCGTCGAAGAGGGCGAAGCCGAGCGCGATCCCCCCGACCGAGTAGCTGAAAGTGTGGATCAGGGTCTTCATGTCCTCCCAGGCCTGCTTGCTTTCGAGGAAGATGTCATCCGGGGTGGGTTCGGCCCAGTGAAACATCACTTGGGCCAGCAGCGGGATTCCCACCAGAAGGTCCAGCGCTGTTTTCAACACTGTTCCGAACAAGTAAGGCACCAGAAGGCCAACTGCAGTCTGGGAACCGTTGAAAATGTGAACAAAATAGATGGGGTCAATATAGAAGATTTATGCAAATTGCAAAAATCTGCGATTTGAGGAAAATAATTACAAGAGCATTCATTGAGTGACATGCACCACATCGGTTTAGGAGCTAAACTGATATGATTTCAGAAAATATGTTTAAGAATGAGTTTAACTCGTCGTTAAACTGATTCGTGACATGCACCAAATGCGATCAGTTTATTTCTCTTTTATGGGGTGACATGCACCAGATCCGTTTAACTTTAAACTGATTCGTTTTTATGATGGGCGTCTATGGGAATACGTTTATCTTGGTTAAACTGATTCCCATAGACGCCAATTTTGAAAACGAATCAGTTTAAAGTTAAACGGATCTGGTGCATGTCACCCTTGAACTAATCTTTAAAATTAAAAAAAACTGTTCCATAGCAGGTTTAAATCCGGAGTGGGCATCATTTTTCTTGCCTCTCATCATCTAGCGAGGGTGGGAATGGAAACTAATGAAGAGATCGGCTCGATCCTCTTAAATGGTTCAACAGAGACGAATTCCGAATAAGTTTTCGTCTTTCAAACCGTCGCCGACTCGATTCGGACAGTGGAGCAGCAGCTGGCACAATATTTATTCTCTTTCCGAGTGCAACCACACCGCCTTTAAACGTGTTTAAGTCAGGGATAAACGTGTTCATGGAAACTAATCTGATTCTCGGTGGTGCATGTCAAAGATAAACGCATTCTTAAACATGTTTTAGTAAACTTGTTCATCTCGTCTTTAAACTAATCCGATCCCTCAATTGGTGCATGTCACCCATTGAGCAGGGAAGACAAAATAACGAAATATAAATGATGAAAAAAATTTGCCTGAACGATTGCCAATAAATAATCTGATGAAATGTGAACTCAAAGCGAGTCGTTGATAGGGATGAGAATGAGAACACGCACACAGCCCGACATGAGCAGGGTAAAAAAAAAATATTACCTTGATAGCACCAATGAGCATGAGAGCGACGCAGACGAGATAAATTGTGAGGATACCCATCAAGGCATAAGCATACGGCTCCAAACCTATGCGGGAGGAGGAGAGAAAGTACCAGGAATGAACCAAACCACGACGGTGAATTCGATGGATTTCGCAGCTTACTCTTCCCCCATTTCCGATCTTGCTCGAAATCCTCGTCGAAGCTCCAGAAATACCCTTTTCCCCCGCTCTCGGTCCAAGAGACGAAGAGCCCCAACAGGACCAGAGACCCCGTCACGACGATCTGCGAGCATTCCGATTCCCCTTCATTCCATGTAACATAAAAAAAAAACCGAACCGACTGACGACGTCGTGTGAGACTGACCGTCTGAAAGAATCCCAAGGCGATTACTGCCGCGCGGCTGGGCACGCCGCAGCACGACTCTATCACGCACATCGCTTCACACCTCGAAACCGAATCTCCACAGATAAGTCTTACAGGACGGATCAGTACTTCATACGCTTATGCTAGATAACCTGGGATAATCTGAAGGGACAATTTATCGCCGGAGCGGATAGTATCCTATCCAATCCAATGTACTGGAGGGGGCAAATGAAGAATTTCAAGGACTTCTATCATTAGTTCCTTTTGGAGTTGACCCAAGTTTATGGAGGCGATGGCTTTCCATGACTGGCAATATTGTCCAAATTTTTGGAAACATCAAATTAATTGTAACTTTCATGCCTTTTTTAAGTAATCAAGATCACTTATTTACACTGGCGGAAGACTCAATTTTTGGTGAAGAAGGGCGAAAAGGCCTTTAAAAACTTTTCGAAAGGGTAGAAAACGTTCAAGTGGTAGAAGTTTGTCTTACGGCACAGTGCCTGAATCGGCAAGTCGTTTTGGGGATGGGAGGGACGCAATCTCCTTTTGAGTGCTACCAATTGGGGAGACCCTAAACAGCATCCTTGCCTAAAATTTTCCAATTGCAAGTCCATTCCAAAATTTCCATTAAAACCTTATCTTAGACGATCGTTCATTGCAGTGCAAAGCGTTAGATGCGATGAACTTGCTCTGCTAAGTTATTGGCAACTTCTGAAATGCCCTTCTATGTCAATCAACAACTTAAGATTAGAGTTTCAACTAATGGGAAAATTTGAGGTGTGAAAGCTGCTGAGGGTCTCCTAAACAGATGGTGCTCAGAAAGAATGTCCCTACTATCCCAAAAACGACTTGTGCTCTCTTGCGGACGAACACAGGACGCACCCCAAGACAGTCGTTCCACAGAGACATCTAACGGTCGTCAAGACGGCCCCTGTCGAAGAGAAATGGATAACCAACTCCCGAGTTTGGTGCTTCGGGAATGATAGCGACGAGATAACTTGTTTCAGTTAACTTTCGATCACGTGGAACGGCTTCTGAATGCTATTTCGTAACGTATTTTTTTGGGAAGAAGCCAGGTTTCGGATAATGCGACCTCATTCTCCTCCTAAGGCAGGGATGTTCATTGTGAAAGAAGAAATGAGGTAAAATGCAATTGTGACAGCTTTCGCTGGTGGCACTAAGGTTAGAGGAGACACAGTGACGTATTTTACGGGGGGGAGGGGGGCAGGAGGGCCCTGCCCTCCCTTAGCGTCCCCTTGGTAGCAATAATTTTCTCCCCTGGTATCGCTCAGATGGGGTTTTGCGCCCCCGCTCTGCAGCCCTGTCCCCCATCCCCGACTCTTCATCCAAAATACGCCACTAGGCAGACGGATGAGTTCCGGAAAAAATCCCTGAAATCCCTACCTCTGACAGAGGTAGAAGGACATACTGAATATTGTGAAAGTACAACTCCATGCATAAATGTTTACTAGCCATTCATAGTCGGGAATATATATAAACTTCTGTCCAACCGTCAAAAAAGGTGTCCTCTTGTCCTTTTTTTGGTTCATATTGGACTTCTTTCTCGGATAATAGTCAGTCTCTGCTGCAAGAAATTGAGATATATCATACCTTTATAGGTAATCCGAAATTATGAACTATACAGTACGATCGTAGTCCAACTGTAAAGCCTGAAAAGAGCCCGAAAGAGGACAACCTTTTTTGTGCTGGGGATGTACAGTGAGACGTGAGATATAGATAGACTGGCACTGAGTGGTTGAAGAGTGATGTATCTCCAATCAGAATTTCACAATTTTGGTCCTCGCTTGGATTCGGAATATATGCGCAGCCGTGTGTGTATGAATACGCAAGGTGAGCTGGTTTTGGCTTTCCAATTGGAACTGGATTTCAGGTTCTGTACTGTATTTCAACGTGATAAGCATCACGGAGAGTGAATTCGATTCCTTGTCCCAATACGAAAGAAACTACCAGCTGGAGAGATCCTTAATCCAATATGTCGCCTCTGCTACAAGCAGCAGATGCACTCTGGAGGTCAGACCAGGAATGGATGGCCAGAAGTGGATGGCTTCCAAGTGCCACGACTTCGCGCCCTTGCAAAGTGACCCTCGTGGTGGTAGAAACAATATGGCTGCCCGCTAGCGGCTAGTCCGCGTGTGTGGAGAGGAGGGACGGTCAGCTTCAGCCTAACGCTAATATCCAGCAGTGCGGATGTTATTTTGATTTCGATTGGCTTAGCTTATCATTTGGGCTGGATCCATTATTTCTATGATGAACTTACTGTTATTTTCAACAATGCAGGTTTCCATTTCCATTTTCCATAGGAATAGGACTTCGTACACACACTGCACATTTTCCAAAAGTACTGACTGCTGTAGCCAGTAGATTTTATGAGACCACATCCCTGTATTGTCCTCTCTGTTGCTAGGCCTATCCTGATTCTACTCTGTTCTTATGGAATTAAGCATGCTTTTCTTTAACTTTAAAGCCCCCCCTCCCCCCACTTGCTGGAAAAAGGTGCAACCAATGCTAGGGTCAATCTCATAATGAGGAGAAGCAGTGCATGTATAGTAGTGGCAGCTCGTCAGGGGAGGCAAGGGAGGTGCAGGCCATCTCAAAAATTCTCAGGAGACCCTACCCCATGCATTTGAATATATCCATTGGAATAGCAAATAACATAAAGAAATCTCTGATAATCATCAAATTCATTCTCAATTTACACAAAACAAGCAAAGTTCAGTCTCTGACAGTTTACTCCTGCCCTGAATCGCACATGGCAGGCCAAAGCCTGCTGGCCTCCTTCTCCAGAAGAGAGCTTTTCATTCATTCTGATTTGCCTTGCCAATTTATGTCTACACAATTGCCATGGATGAAAAAGACACAATATATGTCATAAATAATTATGATATATGCTAGGTGTGCTAGTTGGGATTTTGTTTAGAAGTTGTGAAACTTGCAAGGGGAGAAAATCATCAGACCACTACTTTTCTCCTAGGGCCAAATGTGCCTCTTCTTTCACTCAGGTGTTCAATGGATTTTTTTTGGGTGGTATTGATACAATATAAACTGGAAACATGAAATGGTTCCTCACTCAGCCACTGACATTTCATGCTTCATGCTCCCATTAATACAACAATGAATTCTTGTTCATTATAAAGAATCATGAGCTAGTTGCCCCAGATTTTTCGTCTATGAGCCACCACTGATGTATAGACATGCAATCTAGAAATTGCTGGCATGATAACTAGGCAGAATATGATCATCGTCAAGGACTCAGCATTGGGCATCAATGTATAAAATTACAAGGTCATTTCAGTAATTCAGAAAGATCATTAAATTTCCTTATTATTCCTTCATCAATAAGCTCCAATAAATCAAGTCCCAGTGAAGCAAGTTGCTCCCAATGATTGTGCCAGCTATTCCTATCTTCAATCTAGTGACCAATTTATGATGTCATATCTTTTTGAGTGAAGGAACATGAGAATATTGTAGGTCCAGTTGATGTCTTAGCACTAGAATGAAGACTAGGTTGACCTGAAACTTGGTAAAGTGTGGCTAAAAAATAGTCTAATATGATTAAAAAAGATAAGTATTGCAGTGAAAGTTAGCCAGGCCAAGAATTTCTTAATTGCTTTGCTTTTTTCCAAGTGCTGCTCTCTGTTCTGAAGATTTTCGTTCAAATTGCTTTTGGTGAAATTACAGATATGTGATTCCTGTAATTCCAGACAGAAGTATGACAAAGAATGCCTAGTAAGACCATAATCATACTAGTTAAACTGATTAATGACTGTTCATAGCAATATTGGTCAACTTTAATTAATTAAAAGCTTAATCTAAACAAAGTGGCTGTTGTAGCATTTAGGGATATATGTAAGGCCATCCTTGAGCTAAATATTTTATATATCCATTCTTTCATATGCAGGATTGATTGATTGGGGTGAAGTTTGGAGAATTTCTGGAAATGGTTCCAAGTGATTCTGGTGGGAGATTGAGTTTTGAAGGAACTGACTCCTTTCGATACAGAATAATCCTCTCGGTTTTAACAGGGAAACCCATACGCATAAGAAAGATTCGTTCAGAAGATGAAGATCCTGGGCTGCGTGAATTTGAGGTTAGCTTTGTTCGATTGATCGACAAACTGACTAATGGGAGCAAGATCCAGATCAGTGAAACTGGAACAGTTCTGAACTTTGACCCTGGCCTGATCACTGGAGGAAACATTCAACATGATTGTAATGTACAAAGAAGCATTGGCTATTATTTGGAGGCTCTAGTTGTCTTGGGGCCTTTCAGCAAGAAATCTCTTCGTGTAACTCTCAGAGGAGTGACCAATGACAGTCTTGACCCATCTATGGATTCCATGAAATACTGCCTTCCTGGAGTCCTAAAGAATTTCTTGAATGATGATGAAGGCCTTAGCATCAAGGTGAATAGACGGGGACTTCCTCCTGATGGTGGAGGAGAAGTTGTATTCATGTGTCCAGTTGCTCGATTTGTAAAACCCATCCAACTCACTGATCCTGGCAAGATCAAGCGAATACGAGGAATGGCATATGGTTCACATGTGTCCCCCTCACTTGTGAATCGAGCTGTGGAGAGTGCCAAAAAGGAGTTATGTTACTTTATCCCAGATGTCTTTATTCAGACACATCACACTAGGGGTCAGGCTGCTGGGAAATCATCAGGTTATGGATTATGTCTTTGTGCTGAGACAAACAATGGGTGCTTTTATACATCAGAAGCACTTGGTGAAAAGGGTGGCAGACCAGAAGACACAGGGACCAAAGCTGCTCATCTTCTCATGGAAGAAATTTATAGGGGAGGCTGCTGTGATTCTAGTTTTCAAGCTGTTGTGTTCATGTTAATGGCTTTTGGGAGAAGAGATGTTTCCAAGATTCTTATTGGTCCACTTTCTCCACATGGCATAGAGTGCCTTCGCCTGCTGAAGACATTCACACAGCTCATTTTCCGTCTTGAGAGCAAGGAGGAAGAGGAAGACATGAGGAAGGGAGGTCCCAAGGTTCTGGCATGTTGTCTTGGACTTGGATATTCCAATATCAATAAAACAGTTTCTTGATTATGCCTGCACCAGCAATGCTTGTAGGCACAAAATAAATATTGATTTTGTATCCTACCAATATGAAAACATGTAGACCTTATTCCTTGTGGAGGAGTAACCTGGGAGATATTGATAACAACTAAGTATTTATTTCCAAGTTGAATAGCATGATGGTTTTTAAATATGTGACCAACATTAGGTATTGACTTTGAAGGTTTTGACTATTAATTTATAGCCTCATAGCATAATCATTTTTGCCCCATCCAGTGAAATATGATTAATACCCTTGAGCAGACTAGGAAAACCCCTGTAAACAAGGTTTGTGGGAATAGAGATGCATGGGCAGGCAGCTTGCTTAGTCCACTTACAAGTTCTTCCCAGGAAATTCCTATTTGTCACCTCAGGTTCATGGGGAAAATTTTTGTTTTTCCTACACTGCCCTTGAGTAATGTGAAGCTATGGGCACTTTCAAGTGGAATTCAATCAATCATGTCTTTGTCAAGAGTAATTGATAGAAATGCCTATTGTGTTTGATAAATAGGTAGATGCATTTCACTTATGTAGAAATTCAGAAACTTATATTTAAACTCTTTGATGCTTTGATTTACAAATGAAACCTCTTGTGGGGATCTTTTGAGTTGAGTGAAGGGCGCTTCAGTGAAAATTTCTTCTTTTTTCATTTAATTTCATTTAGATTGTCCAAAGCATTTACTGAGAGCAAAATGTTTCACATTTAACTGGAGGTTAGGGGAATTAAGAAAATCAATTGAAGGGAGGAATTTTGTGATAAATGCATAAATGGTTTAATAAGATTTATCCATGTTCTCAAAGAGCTCGTAAATTTATTTATGATCTTTTAGTCATTGAGGGATTTCTTGCACTCAAGTTCCTCTCCTCAGCCAATGTTTATGGCAGACCTCATATTGGTTCATCCTTGAATGCCTACCTTTTTAAAAGGAAATTTTCAACCTTTGGGACTTGTGAAATATAATAAAGGCCTGGGGCATCTGTTACAAAATCACAAGCACACTGCATGCTGTAAGTTTCTCTGACACATTCCTCCAACTTCACCAAAAATGTCATGACACTCATTTTTCAATTGATTTAGCTAGATTCCTTACTCATCTGGCCAATTGGGGCAAATAATCAATTTAAAAATAATTATTAAATCAAATGAAAACCAAAAAGCAAGCTCCTCCAAGGACCTGATGCTAGATCTTCATGTGAAGTAACATGTATTTATCAAAGAACAAAGGAATTACAGAGTAAGTATTATAATTTTTTGACAGGTTTTTTTTTTACACTATTTTTTGTCCACTTGCTCTTGACTCAGATAGAATACTAGTACCTAGAATTGCTTTTAATGTTCTTACACATTTCCAAGGCATATGCACTCTCCATGAGTATAGAGAAAGAATGCCACTGATGTTCAGCTTGGTTCATATTACCCAGGAGTTAGTGAATTGCATTCCCCACCATTAAATCAATATAATTTTTTTAATGAAAAGGGTAAAATTAACCAGTTTCCTTATTCTAAAGTATAATGAATCACCCAAAACAGGTGCAATGCTCAATTTTAGAGATGTTATAGAACATTATATGCCTTTAGCTAGACAGGCTTGTTCACCCTAGTTGCTGAATTACATGAGAATCAATTTCCCAACTTCCATATTTTAAATGTAGTTTTTATTCATTACCTTAGGAAAGATCACCTATCATCATATTCCCAAGAGACTTGACAAAATACTAAAAGTAAAACATATCTCTAATATGAAGTAGACTTTCTTTCTTTGGTCACAGGACAGGCCTTCACCTTCTAAACCTGATTACACAATCGTTACTATAATTCCTTCAGTTCTCCCTATATTTGAAGGATGGATATATCAATATGAAATTGAAGGTGACTGAGTGAATGGTGCCACAGGGAAGAAGGCCTTGTTTGGCCTCTCTGTAATTCCCTTGCTCCCATATCAAATTTAAGCATGAATAATTGTTAATCTTGCACTGTGCTTAGCAGCATTTTCCCATTATGAGCCTATCTCAAGAAGTTACAATTGTAAAAATCTAATGCCTGTAAATGCTCAGAATAGTTTATCGTCACCAAAGTTGCTGGGTCGACCATGGAGGTGGAATCAGGTGATGGGCAGCTTGCAGAGCTCACCACCTTGGAGCTTACTTCAGAAAATCCTGAAGATGGAACAGATCCTAATTATGCTCTTCAGTTCATTGATGGTTAGTGCTGCTTTCCTTTAACTATGAAAGCTCTGGTACTGATTGTACTAGTAATTGATATAGGGCTGAATCTGATTTGACTATAGGACAGATCAACTATCAACAGTTGGTTACTCTCTTGGAAGAAGATGAGGATGATGATGCAGAGGATGATAAGGGAGAGAATGATGAAACTATCCCAGGTTCTATATAACTATGATGTTTATTTCACTCATACTTGATTGATTGATCATCCAAGATCCAAAATTTCTAAGCTTTTCTATTGCAGAAGCTGCTCCCAAATCGAGAGAACACAGAGGTGAAGGCTCTAAGTCACCCCCATCACCCATGGAGGAACCACACAGAAAAAGACGGAAAAGGCTTTTTGAGAGAAAAACAAAGCTTTCCCCAATTTTAGCTGTGGGCTAAAATTTTCTTTGCTTAATCTTTGCTTTACTTATATGTCATAACTTCTTTCAACATCCAATAACCATCCTAGAGCATGATGGGTGAGGCGAACCTGAGGTATGCCAGAGGGCAGTTTGAAGATGTGGAGAAATTTTGCATGGAAGTCATCAGACAAGGTTCTTCATATATGATTTGTGGTTTTTTTAGTTTTCATTTGCCAATAAATGAACAAGGACTGCCTGTAATGCTTTTGCCCCCATACAAATTTAACTGGAGAAGCAAAGTGTGCATTGGGTTAATCAGATGATTTTGTAACTTGCTTCACAAGATGTCTGATACTCTAGTTTGAGCCTTGCAGTCACTGCCTTTATCACTGGTTCTTTTATTTCAGAAGAGAATTCCCATTGAAGCATCTTAAATCAATTTTCAGACTCTCAATGAAGTGTGAAATCAGCATCCCATGTCAGTAAATGCTGTATAAGACTTGGAATCATGCAATATGTGAATTCATTTGTAGCTTGTATGATCCCTTTGAAAAAATGCAGAGGCACCCTCCCTGTTCATCAAGTTGTGAAGTAACTTCAGGTGAATTCATGTGGGTGATAGTGATAACTGGGTGATGTTCACCCAATTTGAGGCCCAGCAAGGATTTGAGATATTTCGTAGCAGTATTAATTCAGTCAGTACATAGATTTTGATTTCCAGAACACTGGTCCAAAGCACATAATTTGTTCCATTTGGTTCGCTAAACATTTTACTAACCTACTGTTGCAAAATATTTTAATTTGAAGAATTCCACTCATCAATGCTAAAAAGGGTGACAGTTTTTTACAGGCTTGAGCTTTGAAGTAATGGGTCCCAACTTGAAAGCTCAATGTTATGTGCTGAAATATTGGATTGCATTTGGTTGATGTGGAGGCAGTGCACATATGGCAGCTAGCTGGATTAACCCATTGGCATAATATTTTTTCACTGAAAACTTTGTTTTTCTTGTCTTCATTGCTTTAACTTATTCTTAAGGGCACTGACATAAAAATAAAAATAATTGCCTCAATTCAAAGGCAAACCTGATTTCTCTATCACAATTATAAAAATTTAAAATAAATTTTCCTTGAAGGAAGATGCCACGACAGCTTATGCCATCAGGTCATGACAAGGGGTTCATGGACATGGACCATTTTGTCAACCCACTCCAAAAGACCTTGCTGACCTGTTTTAGATCCTTTGCTTATTGACACAACCAAATGACTTGAAGCAATCCCAGTTGAATCTATTCTTTGTGAACAGTCTTTAATTGGCTTTCTGTCCCCAAATGAATTCACCATATTACTGTGGTTGATAGATATCCTGGTTGACCAGTAACTGATATGGGATATCATTTGTTTCTCCTTAACAGCTCCTCATGCAGCTGAACCATACCAGACTCTTGGAATGCTCTATGAGGAAATGGGAGATATGGAGAAGTCCTACCAGTTTCGTCTGATTGCAGCACATTTGGGACCAACTGATGTGGAGGAATGGCTTCACCTAGGAGAAATTGCATTGGAGAGAGAAGAGATCAGACAAGCAAAAATTTGCTACAGGTTTATAAGCTGTACTTGCTAAATTCATTCCTTTACTGACAGAGGATACAGACAATTCTCTTTTTTATGACAGGCATGCCTACAAGACAGAAAAAGACAACATGAAAGTAGCCATTGCTTATGGAAATCTAATGGAACGGGATGGTGAAAAGCGAGCTGCATTTCGCCTGTATGTCAGCCTCTTGCCACGTGTTGAGAACTCACACCCAACTATGTATATGACTATCATTAAAGAGATAGCTCGACTCCACCATGAGTTTGGGACAGTAGCAGCTGCCAGGGAAGTCATGTCTGAAGCATTCAGGAAATATCCAAGTGTTGTATCATCTGAAGGTAAAGTTCATCTCGGCTATTTCAGAGATTTCTGCTTTTTTAATATAATAAAAATATATAAATCACCTTTACTTTTCACACAGATGTGAACCTACTTCTGGAACTGTTGGCAGCAGAAAAGAAATTTGATGAGAGTTTATCTGTTCTGATCAAATATTGCCAAGTGGAATTTGATCCAGCAATTCATGGGGAAGGACCAGTGGAAAATGTGAATGTATGCCGAAGCATCACTCTTCCTGATCCATTCCCTGTTGATCTTCAAGCCAAATTGATTGTTGCTCTTATACAAATGGATGCCTTGCATCTTGCTCAGGTGAATTCCCAACAATTTACAAGAGAGGCTGTGATTATGAACTGGGCCAAATATCTGTTAGTTCATGCAGGTGGTTTGTGATAGGCTGTCCCAGGAAGATGCTGAAGAGGTGGGTGATCTCTTCTTGGATGTGGCTGAGGCTTACATGGAGAAGAGAGCCCCTGACAAGGCTATTCCTCTTCTTGACACACTTTGTCGAACAAAGAACTACTCCCTTGTCAGTTCTTCCCCATTAATTTAAATCTAAGGATAATGGTGTGCATTGGAAATGTTTTTATGTATTTTCCCATAGCCAGCAGTCTGGCTTCGATATGCAGAGTGTCTGCACAATACACATCAGTTGGAGAAGACTGCTGATGCCTACAAGATGGTGCTGAACTCAGTCCCAGAGCACACAGATGCTCGCCTAGCATTGTCTCAAACACTCAATGAGTTGGGACGGGGAGATGAAGCCATTGTTACATTGAGTCAAGGTAGGATGAATGAGTAAAAGAATAGCATAATTATTTTATTGCATGAATGTAGCCCAATGATGGAATTTGGATCCCCTCATTTTTACAGCAGATGATGGTCCAATGGATGGTTCTCTCCTGTATCATCGCTGCAAGCTTCTTCTGCGACAAGAGAAACATGAAGAATTCATTTCCAAAGCCTTACTCTTCTTTTCAAGGCACTTCTTTCAACTGGAAAAGCTCAATGACATTGACAGTGAGTCAATGTCTTTGCTGTCTTGATTCTTTGATTAAAGATAAGTGGTAACCTTTGAGATTGTTCTGATATCCAATAGCTGCATTGTTGGTGAAAATGCCTGGTGGAGCAAGTGTCCCAAGCCAGGTTTCAGAGGGATTTGTGAGCTGGGATGATGAAATGCAGCTCTTGTTTGACTTGTGCCAGCTCTTGTTTCAACGTAGGGAATTTTCCCTCCTTGAACGTGTCTGCATTGGAGCACTTGGTTCAAAGGTCTTCAGATCTATGGCTGCACGCAAAGCTGACATCCCCTGGGTTTGTTCTTTTCTTTCCATCCTTTGCTGCATTTAAGGATTTGGAAATTCATTCAACTGTTGGAATCCTCCAGGGATTATACTTCAATGCCCTTCAAGCCTGTTACTTCAATCGAGACTTCAACACAAGCTACAAGATTGTGAGGGACATGGTGTTTTTTGAACCCATGAATCACACCATGCTCTACCTCCTTAATCTCATCATCAGTCGAATGGAAGGCATTCGTCATCACAAGTTCCTCATGAGACTCCAGGTATTCTGCAATATTAGGTTTTCAACAAGGTGCCAAATTTGTCATTACCAGAACTATGATAGTTTACTGTATTGTGGTTTTAGGCTCATCATGTTGAGAATGCAGCTCTTGGGATCCTGAATGGAAACAATAGCTTAATATCTGGTACATACAAGTATGCCCTTGGGGATTACATGAATGCATTCAAAGTCATGCCTGACAATCCCCTCATTGCTCTTCTCATTGGAATCACATTCGTTCACATTGCATGTCAGAAATTTGTCAACAAGAAGCATTCCCTGGTGGTTCAGGTAAAGAGTTCTTTCAGGCTCCAGCTTATTTTTTGGTGTATCCCTTTCATAAGAATTGTGGTGGGTTCTTTGCTGATATTCTCTGCAGGGTCTCTCATTCCTGAATACTTATCTTGAGCTGAGGGGAGAATGTCAGGAAACATACTACAATCTTGGCCGAGCAATGCAGCAACTTGGTATGTAATTTCCTACCCATGCTGCTTGTTGATGAAGCAGTTATGTATAACTTCTCTCATTCTATTCTTAGGGATCATGCACATGGCTGTGCAGTACTACAAGAAAGCCTTAGACTCTCCCCCAGCTGTGAAACCCAGAGAAAGTGAACCCCAGGTGTATGATCTCAGCAGAGAGATTGCCTATAATCTAGCTTTAATCTATCGTGGATCAGGATCTGAACACTTGGCCCGTTTCTACATCAGGAAGTATTTGGTGATCTGATTTGCTTGTATCTACAAAATGCTCTGTGATAATAAAGAATATTGCATAGATATACTGGTCTTAGAGCATGAGTTGCTGGCATGAAAAATAATCACGCCAAGAGGGAAGCAGAGCTTATGCTCTGAATGGGAGCATCTTCCATGAATCCCCATGAAAGCCTTTGCAGTCAAGTGAATGTACCAATGTAATCCTTCAATCTATTGTCTCATCTTTATTCTAATTGCTTGTGATACAGAGTAATCTTGTTTTTCTTTCATGTTCATATGGTTTCTTGCAGGTTCAACTGCTTTTGATGCAGATGAAAAACAAGACCATCATTTTTAACTGTCATTCACAGGCAGAGTGTATCTTAGTGAGGTGAAATGCTCAGTTAAGATCAATCAACTTGAAGGATGTGTACTTATCGACCAGGTTCTGTGAGTGCAGAACAGGATACTGTTGCCATTGATTTATTTGCATTTTTCCCTCATTCAAAATCATGTATGATTGCAACTTTAAAATTGTAGAGTCGCCTGAAGCAGTCCATCATTGTGGCAATAGGAGGTTCCATTACATTTTGTGGGATGAATATCTACTGTGGGTCAGAACGGTTTTACCGAGAGGTTGTCCCACCCATCATGTCACTTCTGCCTCCTGAGACAGCACATCGTGTGGCTATCAAGGCAGCCAGATTTGGAATTGTACCTAAGCCCAAGTACATAGACTCGCCACTTTTGGTTGGTATCATTGTTTTTCAATGTCCATTGTTGAGTCAGCTTTTCCAAAATGTCCAAAATGAAGTTATAATGTGAGTGTGAGAATGATTTAACTATCATCAGGATGATAAGGTTATTGTGTTTTGGTCATACTTTAGAAGAGCAAGGTGTTTGGATTGGACTTTCCAAATCCTGTGGGCTTGGCAGCAGGGTTTGATAAAGATGGGGAAGGGACATTAGGACTGCTATCCATGGGCTTTGGCTCTGTGGAAATCGGATCGGTAACCCCAAAACCTCAACCTGGGAATCCATCTCCTCGTATATTCAGACTCCCTGAAGATGGAGCCATCATCAACAGGTGGAATGATATATTAAAATTATTCATAATATAACTTGCTATATATCATAAATGATATAAGGAAATCACTCATGTAATGAGTTCTAATGGCTTATTCTTCATTACTATCAGGTATGGCTTCAACAGCCATGGCCATCAGGTGGTACATGACCGTCTGAAATCTCAGAAGCTAAAGAACCCAAATGGAATCATCGGTGTAAATTTGGGGAGAAACAAAGACTCTGACGATCCCATCAGTGATTATGCAGCAGGCATTCACATGTTTGCTGATGTTGCTGATTATTTTGTCATTAACATCTCAAGGTAAGTATTTTATTTATTTACCAATATTGCATGTTGTATGATAAGGAGGCAAACACTGGATCATTGAATCTATAGTACCTTTCATCAAATTTGGAACCAAGGAACTTATAACAGATATGTACCCCTATTGTTGGGAGTACTTCTTTCTGAAGAAAGGTGATGCTTTCTTCATTTATTGTTTAGGTTGCTAGTTCCAAGAGGGAGGGTTTTTTTTCTGCATTTTCTCTCTGTACTGCCTCATGGCTTTTTATGTAGTCCAAACACACCACGACTTCGAGAGATGCAGGAGAAAGGGAACCTGGAGGTGTTACTTGATGCAGTACTCAAAGCAAGAGATGAAGTAAAAATGAAGAGGATACCAGTATTATTAAAGGTTTCTCCTGATCTCTCACCCTCAGAGCGGAAGGACATCGTTGGTGTTATTACAAAGTCTGAGGTATGTACAAACAGGACAAGTCATCCACATAGTATGAAAATGAGGGATTTCATCACATTTGTATGAAGTAGAGACGGGTGGATGGGTTGGTGGTTTCCAACACAACAACATCTAGACCAGAAAGTTTGCAGAGTCCGTTCAAGGAAGAAGATGGTGGACTAAGTGGGAAGCCCATCAATGCCATGGCAACTGAAGCAATAAGGGATTTCTATTCTCTAACAAAAGGTTTCAATTTTTAGCCTATAATTGCCTATAATTGGTTAGGTCAGTATTGAGTCACAATGCACTTTGTATTATTTAAGGTAAAGTTCCTATCATTGGTGTTGGTGGAATTTCATGTGGGAAAGAAGCATATGAAAAACTCTGTGCTGGAGCTTCCCTTCTACAGCTCTACACCTCATTGGTCTATGAAGGACCCACTGTGGTTTCAAAAATCAAACAGGACCTAGAGGAACTCCTCAGGTGAATCTCCTTTCCTTTCATCATTGCACCAGATTTCTCTGTGACCACACATCTTCACATATAGTTTGTTTCCTATTGCAGCAAAGATGGTTATGAAAGTTTGTCAGATGTTATTGGGAGAGATGTGAAGATACCGTGACACATTCAGTGGAAGATCTGTGAATCTAACAAGGGGAGTTATAATTGTCTGTTCTAGGTATTTCTATTTCATGTTGTGGTGTAATGAAAGATTGAGTAAAAGGTGATGAATGAGGAAATGATAACTCAATGTTTCATTTAATACACAAAACAGAAATGGGGGGGGAGTCGGGAATCTCACTCAGTATCGTCTTCTCTTTAGAATGTCTGGCTTCCAGTTGATGGGATGCGTTTCCTCAGTCTGAAAACAAAATTAAATAAATCTATTCCATCACCTGAAAACATAGAGCATCCCTTATGAAAATGAATGGGATTATGTTCTGGACTTACAGCAGTGTCATCCTCCTTAAAGATTTTTATGGTCTTGTCAGCATCAGTGGTGATAAGTCGGGAACCACTCATGTCGAAAGTCATTGAAAATATTCCTGCTTCGCTATCCATTGATCCAGGTTGAACTGGAGCCTAAATTTTAGGGAAAAAATCATGAGAAATCCTTTCATCACCAAATTACTTAAGGGTAAGCCTTTCTACCTGACAGGAATATCTATTGAAAATCAGCTTCAGCAGAAGCCCTGAGCTTAACAAACACTATCTTGTGGCCCTCATACTCATCAAGGATTGCAGATAACAGACAGTTCCAGAGTTCAAATCAATAGCACTAGGATATTCTTGTATCAGTCTGAAAGTTCTAACCTGAAGCCTCTGGAAGTTAAATCCAGTCTTGAAATCCCAGAAATGAAGTGTCCCATTGTCTCCTCCAGACACAAGAACATCATCATGGTTCACAGCTAAGCAATTAATAATTGCATTGTGTCCTGCCATATTCTGAATGAATTTCCCCTCAGGACATTTCCACTGCTTGATACTGTCTGGTGATGCAGATGCAAACATGTACCTGCAAAAAAAATCAATACATCAACAATAAATTCTTCATACCTGATCAATACATGAAGGAAATCAGCACTGGGAGACATGACGTACATTCGTGGATGGATGACAAGAGCTCTAACACTCTTCTTGTGATTTGTGAGTGTGCAGATGCTCTTCCCTGCTGCAAGGTCCCAAAGTCTAATTGTACAATCATGGCTTCCTGTTATTACCTGAAAAAATTCAAGATATCAGAAATTTAAAATAATACATGGATTGTTATGAAGGAACAGCCAGCACAAAGACTTTTTCTTACCTGTGGTTCAGCTGCTTGGCTCTCAACACGTGCAACTGTATTTGTGTGACCAGCGAGGGTGTGGATGTTGGCTTTGGTTCTCATGTCCCATACCCTTGCAGTAGAGTCACGTCCACATGTTAATAGGACATCAATGGTTGGATGAAGAGAGAGATCATAGACAGCACTCAAATGCCCATGGTAATGACGTATCACCTGTAATGCAGTATGGGGAATTAAGGATGATGAGCAGTCCTCACAAAGAGCATTAGTTGCATATGACCAGTGCCATACTGAGGATATTTAGTGCCTTGTGCAAGACATCCCACACCCCTCCCCTCCTGTGTGAGTTATCAATCCAGTGCCTACCTCTCCAGCTTCACCAGCACTAATGCCAATTATACATTATGTATTAATTCATTCATTTAGTTAATTTCAGGATAATTTTCAATTTTTTTAAAGGTTTTATTCATGTACTGTAGTGATTTGGCAGCCAATTGGTGCCATGTGCAGGTGCACCACTTGCACCCCCCTTGGTATGGCTCTGCTACAGACTGCACACTTATGTTGTTACTATGCATCTCTTGGCATATAGTAAATAAAGCCCCATAATTTGAGACTAAGAGACTTGGGATTCTATCTCTTTTTTTCTCCCTTTTCTTCTCTCTTTCTCTTTACTTTGAAACTCTTATTTTCTCATTTCAACATTAGGCTTCATTATATTAAAATTGCATGGAACTGCCTGCCAAAAGAGACCATCAAGAATATACAGTTTTACTTCCAAATGTTTATATTGCTATGCAAAAGTAACTTAAGCAGAAATCATGACCAAAGTGATTTCCTTTTTTTTTTGACATCCTGAAGAAAGAACTAAGACTATTCATACTTCTGACAAATTTCTCTATGGGGTGGTCATACATACTGCACAACGACAGCTTTGTAGCCAGCTGGGTGACACCATAGTTTGACATTTTGAGATGGAAAAATAACCCTGAAAGCAAATTTCAGGGTTCCTGGTAAATAATGAGCAGAAGAACTGTCAAAATGGGAAAATGGAATTGTGAACCTTGCACCTTTCTTGTGATCAAGCAAATTTCAGATTCTAATACATGTTAGAACTCATCTGAACAGTAGGGGTTATTTTGTAGCTTTTCTCACAATAATTATAAACTCACATAGGGTCTTGATCGGGACAATTTTTCTCACAATTAGCTTTTTAAATGTTATCTAAAACTTCTCTAACCCATTGGATTGCATTGGCTTTGTATACAAACAAGTCAATTGGCCCAGAGTATATGGTAAACTACCTTGTTGTACTCAAGATCCCAACACTTTACTTGTCTATCTTCTCCACAGCTGAACAAATATGGATGACGAGGGCTGACTGCAAGACCTCGCACAGAGCTGACATGCCCAGTGAGTGATAATTTCAGGGTACCACTTGCCAGATCCCATATCTGAAACATTAAAGAAGATTGGGATTCATAAAATAAGAAACAATGTTTATGATTACATGGGATCAAAAGATGAGTGGAAACAAACAACCTTGATGACACGATCAGCAGATCCTGTGGCAAACCATGCATTGCCTGGTTCAACAGCGACACAACGAACCCAGCCAAGATGACCAGAAATAACTCTCATTAGTTTCCAAGGAGGATGCCATTTGGGCTTAGGCATTGCTGGGGATTTCCTGGCTACCAACTGACTCAGATTTGCCACTGTACCCTGACCAGCAGCTGGTGGGGGGGGAGCCCCAGTCACTGGTATCATATTTTGCTCCTTCCCCTGGTATAAGACCATGCTTGTGTTTTCCTTTGCTCCTAAAAGAATACAAAGGATCAACATTGGAAAAACTCCATTGTAGATACTGAGGTGCTGAAAAAGGTAAGAACTACTCAGACCTTCAGCACTTTCAGTTATAGCTCTGGGTGCCTGAATGTCCCCACTGTATGAATCACCATACCCATGTTCAAATCCCGTCTTGTTCTGGGTTGACTTCAGGTGTCTCACGGGCTGGTATTGGTCACGAATTTTGCATAGCATTTTTATTTTTTGTCTGTTGAGAGAAGATAGCAAATTTGAGCTTCAATGCACCAGATGACTTTAGGAAGAGTTCAAAAGGAGAGCTAGACAAGTCTGAGAAGAGTAAGGACTTAAGACAATTAAGCTTGCAAGGACATCAGGTCAGCAATCTAACGAAGAAAACTTACGCTTGATCATCTTGTGGAGCTAGAGATCCCTGATCAGACAGGAACATGTCATGTGTCCTCTTTAAAGACCTGAACACCAATGTGTGAACAGAGTGTTTCTGGACATCCTGCAACAAAAGAGATGAAGATAAGGCAGTCAACCAACAACATCAGGGGTCATACAAGCAGTCCAATCAATTTTTTATATCCATTTTGATCTATCTTACTTTGACCTTTTTAAAATCTATTTTTCTTGATAAGAGTCATTCATTAAGTTCATTGTATATACTGTGCAATATAGTAAAATTATGAGTGATCTAGAATGTGTTCATTATTCTGTAGGTAAGCATACTTAATGAACCATCCTTGAGCCTATCATCTTTTTACTACATATACATGACATCTTCAATTTGTAAAAAGATTACAGTTTATTTCACTTCTAGACTAGAACATCAATAGCCTCACAGTCTTATCTTCATATCAATCCAAACCAAACATTGAGCAAGATAACATGAGTTAACATGAATGTATTAACACTATTGTAAAGAAATCCATTTTTAAAGTTATTCATGACTTTTTCTATAAAACATTACATATACTTATCAAAGAACAATAATGACTTTAATGTGGATCAAGTGAAGTATCTTGGTGTTTACTTGTTAGAGGTTAAGGCTTGACATGCACAGAGTTTTGCAAGAGTTTTTGAAAAAGATGGAAGTTCTGTATAGTCAGGTGGATCTACCATGTATCTACCTATACTGAAGAATACCTACTGAGTAATTCAAAAGTCTAATAACAGTAACTTCCAATGGGGAGACAAATAATGTCCACAGGCCATTGTTGCAAGAAATTGAACAAGAATGCATAATCAAAAAGTTGTAGTCTGCCATTCATTCAGCACTAGCAGTGTAGTGTTGGAAGCATATGGGGGCATATGTCTCCCCTGCACTTTAAAATAAATAATAATTTTTAAAAAAAAAGAAGGAAGAAGAAAAATATTCATAACAGTCCCAAAGTTCCTCTGCACATTCATTTTTTTCATCCACACTATGCTTATGATCAGCACATCCAGATTGCTGGCACCAATCAACATGGAAGAAAGATTTCATGAGGAGATTCATACATGAGCATCCATAGATCTGAGAGATCACCAGGCAGCAAAATGGGACACCACCTCATAACTACCTTGAGTTTGTGACTAGTAAAACTGATACTTTCTTGATTGGCAGATTTATCAGACAAGCAAAACTGACTGGTCCATTCATCTAAACTGTCTCCTTTTCTTTCACTATCTAGGGCATTATCAAATACATCATGTACACCAAGAAGAGAAAGGAACCTAAGGGCCTAATGAATGAATCTTGGTAGCCTTAACTGATATTATGCCAGACATTTGCAGAATAATACATTGACATATGGTGGATTACAGGTAATAGCACATTGTTCCCAACATAAAGCAACTTGTTGATTAAATTTGTGTTCCATTCCTTGCAACAATATCTCATGAACATTGTCTCCCCATAATAAACTAAAGCCCTTCTACCTTTGGGCCACCTGGACCTGGCACTCAAACCACTACCAGCATGCTCCCATAGACTAGGCCCTATTGGTTTGAAGTATGAGATACAGAATCAACCTTAAGTTTAAAAAGTACTGGAATGATACAATGCACAAGGTTGATCAACTTGGCATGTACCTGCTTTTTGGACCAAACTGAATTAACGAACATTATATGACAATGGCCGTTTCCTGATCAAACCATTCATAATTTGTGTTGTAGCTGTGTGCACCTTCAAGGACTGAGTAGGGAAGAAATCTCTACTTACTTAATCAGATCTGGACTAAGCCTACCTTGGCCCACCTAGCTACGTACTAGGACAGCCTAACCAGTAACGGCAACCGGGCTACTTAACGGTCTAACGGTAGGCCTAACCCACCAAGGTTGGGCTACCTGGATTTATTAACTCTAAAAGGGATGTCTCCCTATTAGTAATGGTCATGCTATGAGGGTTTGGAGTTTGCGAGTTAAGTGCAAATGCACGCAACAGGGCGGAGTCATTCCTCGGGATGATGGTGATAAGCCTACTGATCTGATCCGAAATGTAGTCGTGTCTAAGTTAGAAAATGTGGATAGGTCTTGAACCCAACAGGCCCCTTTCACGTTATGGAAGTAATATGCCCAATACTATGGATAAGGATTATGATGGCCGTGAGAGCCTTCAGGAAATGTGAGCTTATAGGCAATTAGTAAAGGCTTACCTCTCCCATTTTCTTGAGATTAGAACTTGACGATAGGAAGGAACCACCCTCGGCTTATGAGCGGGATGTGTGCCTCAGGACGCAGACATTGCAGGATCAGTGTTGCCGCGAAAACCAGTTCCTCCAATCCCCACATGGCCAAGCAAAAGAAGCGAATTTACAAATGAAGGAATGAACGAATTTTTTTTTATTACTTGAAATACTTTATTGCGTTTCCTTTTAAGTGAGCCAATGTTTATTATAATCCTTGTAAGAGTATCATTGGATGCTTCTTTAGTCGTATTGACTTTTTTGCGCCAGCAATCGTTTCCAAAGCCTTTAATATCTCAGGTAGAGTAGAAAGAATTCAAGGGCAAAAGTGGGAATAATTAATTTCACATTCTTCTGCAAGGAATCCGGAAACAATTAATATTGCCCCACCGTCACTGAGATCTGAAATCACTCCATTGACTTCCTCGAGTGTTCCCTGCGTCTCTCCCCCATCTACAACGATCTGGAATGTGTGGTATATTTGTAGAACAATTAACAGAAGAGGTGAATGCCAATGCACGTGCTGGACAGCTGCAAACACGTGCAGCTGTCTTGTTTTTGCATGCGTACAATCCCGGATGAAGGGAAGAAACAATGCTGTTTCCCCCCCCCCCCCCGCCCCCCCCCCACCAAACATTGCTGTTCCCCCCCCCCCCCCCCCCCCTTCCATTCCGCGGCCCTTAGGCGTGAAACCGCCCGGAGACCACAAATAACTTGGCTCTGTAATTGCACACACCCAACTCGGATAAAGGAAGTCAATTATCTCCTATAGCGCTTCCATTTTATCTCGTGAAAATATTTTCCTCCTCTGATAATAAAAATCAGAAGCAGAACAGCTCCAAGGACTCCCCAGAATTATCATGGAATGCATCTCATTTTCTTCGCATTCTCTTAAAGTTATTGGGGAGGGGAGCGAGAGGGAGGGAAATGCCCTCATGAAGATGATGATGACGAAGGATCCGCACTTCTTCATTAGTCTCGAGGCCTATTATCTAAATGGCCATCGAGAGATGTGCCCGCTTTCTTATCCCATTTCACGAAGACGAGGGGGCTGGATCGTGTTCTCTGTATTCTGGTTCAAGGAACCTCCAAGAAAATTTCATCTTCAAATGGGGTTGGGAAACTTGCCAATAGATGGAAATCCAAGCAGACGGGATCTGCGATATTTCGTGTGCTCGCAAAAAACGGTCTGGACGGATGAAGTCCACTCATCTGTACGAGAGGATTTAACGGGGGTGAACGTCAGATTACGTTTGATGAAGGGATTCTCCATCAGGATTTCCTTTCCCGCTAGTCCTCTCAATACATGACCTCAATTCATTCTGGCGTTTCCATCATTTACGGCCCCCTGATTCCCTGTTCTTTTCATCGAATCTTAACCTTCGAAAATCGATTTTTTTTTCCTTCCCCCTCAATGATACCCATGGGTGTGCACTAATCCGGCTTTGTGCGAGGCCAGTGGGTCAGTCGGAAGAGAATAGGCAGATATCAAGATGATGAATTGCGTCTCATCTAAGGCGGCTTGGAAACCCGGAGGCGTATTCTTCCAATCGAGGTAAAAGCCGCGGTATAAATAAATTTTCTTCCTTTCACGTTCGCCAGACATTAGAGATCCGCGGCGAATGGATGAGGAATGAAGATGGACTGTCCCTATTCGCGGGTTCATTTCCCAGAAGGGTGGGAATATCTGCCCAAGGACGGTTTACATCCTTTCCCATTTCCCTTTATTCTCGCGTTCAAGCATCGATTGATGCTCGAGAGAGAGAGAGAGAGAGTGAAAGAGAAGTGCTTTTCTATCCCATGGGAGCTATCTCACCTGGCAAAATGGCATTTGAATGCGGAATGTCAACCTTCCCCTTCAAAGATGGGTCCTTTTGATTCCCAGGGTGAGCCTTTTTCTTTAACGGGAAGAGAACCCCGAATGCGGATGGCATACCATGTGTGTGCGGTTTTTGCCACGACCACAGTGGGAAACGGGAACGAAATGCGATTCAAAATTCCCTCTTTCATCAAAGTCATGTCGTTGGCAGGGCGTGGAGAAGGGGAAGCCGGATATCCCAGCGTCATGCTTCTTTTCCAAGCCTCTAATTTCCCGTCACATTACGACCCGTCATCAACTGAAATATGAACATACAACTCCATCTCTAGTTTATTGCGAATCCAGTAAAATGGACAAAATGTTGCTGGACGCGAGAAAGAGGAGAGGGGGGGGAAAAAAGCTCTCGTCATGAAGCTCAGGCGAGGAAGACAGAGGCTGGAAGAACTGATGGTCGATGAGATCACAACAATAATGATTGATGACGAACAAGCTTGTAAAAAAAAATGGAACTTGAAATCACAGCAAACTGAATACACCAAGAACTGACGAAAAATGTCGACGCTCATGAACGAACAAAATTATTTTAAAAAATGTCATGTCCATGCAGCAGAAGAGGGGGGTGAAAATACGATCACAGATCATTCTAAATTGAAACAGAAGAGCGAGGTAGAGACTGCGTTTCAAATCTCGGTACCCTCCTCGCCTTCGTCGTCGAAAGTAGCAGTCGAAGCACTTCCATTAGGTAGCGTGTCGGGTCTCTTGGGCTTCGGAGGAATGGTCGGGCGGAGCTTCTTTTCACCTTCCTCCGCATTCCCATTCACCATCCGATTTAGAGTGTCGTCTTTGTCTTCCTTGGACGAAGGAGAGTCTTTGATTGCACTCTTGTGAAGAGATGGCTTCTTGACGGGGATAGGCGGGGGGACTTTCTTGGGTTTCACTTCTTGAACAGGCGGGACAGGCTTGAGGTGAGCCTCGGCAGGTGACAGGGGCTCTTCATGTGGCAACAGCTCTTCACGTGTCATCACGTGTGAACCTGACAGCGGCTCTTCACGTGTCAGCAGGTGAGAACCTGACACCCGAGATTCTTCCCGTAACGGAGGAAGAGGAAGGCGTCTCAAGTGTTCTTGCTGGTTACTACCGTTCACCCGAGGCAGGGTCGTGTAACCGTAGACCCCTCGCTTCGGAATGACCGAACCCGGATCTGGTAACAGGTCTTCCATGTTACACGGTTCCTCTGGGTCGTAGGAATCTGAACTGATGGAAGGATTCGGCGTGCGATTCAGCGAGAGACGCGAGCTCCCGTCGGCTGTCGTACGGGGTCCAAGGTTATCATAAATAGGATCCGCCCGAGCCAGAGATCTGGCCTTGGGAGTGTAAATGGGGGAATTCCAGCTCCCAATCCGAGGTCGTCGCGGCAAGGTGACATAAGCAGGTCGAACACTCCAATCCCCGTTGGAACTGGAACGTGGGTCGCTGAACGAAGCTCTTTGAAAGGGGACAACTGTGGACGTGATTCTACTACCATCCGGTCCCAGGAAACTAGTACTGATTTGCCCAGGGGTAGAGAGAAGACCCGATTCATCTGCTCCTCGATACGGCAGGCCGATATCTGGCAATAGATCAGGATAGTTGGCACCATAGTAACTGGCCGGGCGGTCGGAATGAATGGAGGCTGTTTCCGACGTTCGCGTGCTCCGAGAACTCGATTCTGGACCCCCCTCACTTGTGTTCATTAGGGGTCTCGACAGTTCTTCCGTTCCCGCCATCCCGGAACCGTAACTGTAATCCTCGTAGCTGTCGTATTGACTCACACTAGGCACTTTCAGTTCCGACAGCTCCATCTCGTTCTGGGGCACCTTCTCGTAGTCGCCCTGCCGAGGGGGTTTCTGAATCGGGTTGATGCCGACGATGGAACTCTGACCCGCGTGGATGTCTCCGTTCAACTTGGCCTTCTTGGCCTCGTCCTTCTTGGCGTGACGACGTTTGAACACGACGACGATGATGAAGGCGACGAGTAGCAGAGCGAGGACGCCGCCTGCGACGATGCCCAAGATGTGCGAAAGTTTCAATGGTGAAGCGACGGGTGCCTCGTTGCCCTCGCTCAGGAACTTCAGGGTGACATTGGTGTCGGCTATCCCTCCGGCATTCACCCCGACGCACGTGTATTCCCCGGCATCTTGATCGTTGATGTTCGTGATGGTGAGATTCGTCCACTTGTCTGTGGATCCGGATTCGTGGATCACGTAGATCTGATCACTGAAGGGGATCTGGGACATGTTGGCAATGACACGGCCCCCTAGAACCCATTTCGTGTCCGGAGGTGGATCCCCATAGAAACGACACCCGAGGGTCACATTGTCACCGTAACCACCATGAACGATGGGGTGAGGGTTCCGGATCTCGGGCCGGCATGCAAAATCTTCTCCTCCGATCATGTCCCAGGTTCGACCGAAAAGCCTCTCCGGCTCTCGGCAAGCCGTCGGAGGTGTATACAACTTATTCTGGAACAGATAATCCCGCAGGTCCTTCAATCGACAGTCACACTTCCACGGGTTATCGTACAAGCCGAGACTCTTGAGGCTCAAAAAGCTCATGAAGGGTTCGGGTCCAAGCTGAATCAAGCGATTCGAGTCTAGTCGCAGGAATTCCAAGTCCTTCAAATTTCGAAAGGCCTTGTCATCTATGAAGGAGATATGACAACGACTGAGATCCAGATTCTTCAAGGAGGGTAAGGTGGGGAAAGCAAAAGCCTTCATCTTCTGCAGGGGATTTCCTGATAACGTCAACATTCTCAGACGACCATTCCCCGTGAAAGTCTTCGGATGCAAATCATCGATCTGATTATCCGACAGATCAAGCTCGATCAGATTCCCCAACTTCTGGAACGCATCCTTGTGAATCGTTCGAATCCCACACGATTTAAGGATGATTTTCTGCAGGTGAAGCAACTTAGATTTTTCAAACACATTCCCGCCCAGCTCGTTGATGCTGCTCCCACTCAGATTGAGGAACTGTATCTCCGAGCTGAGGTCTGTGGGGATCGTCTTGTAGCTGCCGTTCCCGCACGTGGCAGCTCGTCTCCCGTCGATCCACTTGCAGTCACAAGCACTGGGGCACGTTTGTGTCCAGTCTCCGTTGACCGGAGAGGTGAAGAGTAAAGGTAAAAGGAAGAGGACGTTCGAGGAGCGGCACATGGTCGAAGCAACTCTACTCTCCCCTCTCCCTCGTCAAAAATCTGC